ACAATAGACCTTCTTCTTGTTCCTATTCTTCAATTTCTTCCAGTCTTGCCTTCTTCCACTTTGATTTGGCATCTTTTGAGCACTCAGAGCTTCGACGGTTCGCAGATTCGATACGTCGGTCGTCGCGTCTTTTAGCAAAGTCGATCGCTCCTGGCCAAAGTTTCATACCCATCGTTTCCATTATCTTCATCACTGTTCGAAATCTTTCGTTGAAGATACTTGCCGAAACTTTGCACGCAATTTCAACAACATTTTTACCGTTAAACATGTGTTTAGGTGCCATGTGCCTTAGATTTGAGGTTTTTCACCAGTCGATGGAACACTTAGAATGCTTCGGCTTGGCATCAGTCGAAATTTTGTGGTAGTATCCTGCCCAAATTTCGTTACGCATATCCTATGAAGAATTCAAATTTTTTCTAACTGCTAAACCGTAGATCTCTGAGAGTTCTTTCATCAATTTGATTGTAAATTTTTAGTTTTTACTTCAGGAACTTTTTTCACAACAGTCATTTTTCTCTTCACTACTGTTTTTGCTACAGTTCTTATTTTTTTTTGGCGGTACGGCGTTTCTCAAACATAATGTTATTTATAGCTTGCATTGCTTTTTTGTTATGGAGTATAAAAAAACTTCAGTAGCCATCATAAAATGTTATCACATCATTATTTAATTTTACAGAATTTTTTAAAATATGAATACAACAATTTTTTATTTTAATAATTTTATTCTTCTTTTTTCTTGTTTTTAAAGAAAATATTGTAGGGAAAATTAATTGTTCTGTATCCGGCTAAGGATATCTAATTCCCCCGTGTTGCCGACACTACTTGAGGTATAATAGATATTCTTTATTCTCGCAAATTATTGTTTATTACAATTACAATTACCATTACAATTACAAGTACAATTACAATAATGCTTTGCAACCTCTCGCACTCACTCAGTACTCACTCGCTACTATTTACTCGCTATTCTCGCTCGAATCACTCCCTCTCGTCGCTCGGTTCTCTTCACCCTACTCTTGGAAAAATAACCCTTGACGCGTGACCATCCTCTCCTTATGAGGCTTCTCTCCCACCCTGCATCCCCGAGGGACAAAACATCTTCAAAACGCTCTCGAACCTTTGGACTCACATCGAATTACACATACAACCTCTCGAACCTTTGGACTCACACAGACTTACACACACAACCTCTTCGATTTTCAACACTCCCCACACTCGCCCCCCTTGAAAAAGGATATCTGGCCTCAGATATTCGTTCCTCCTTATCGGCACAACAGTTCACGCTACACATACATACTCACATACTTTTCTCGCTTCGCGTTCTTCGACTCTCACCCACATAATACATATTTAATTCATTTAATCGCTCGCATCTTACAATAAAACCGTACGAAGTCTTACACAACTACACAATGCTACTATTAATAATAATAAATCGAAATTTCCTTATAATTAAATCATGCAAAAACTTATATTACTACGCAAACAAAAATTGTCAATCAAATATTAACTCAAGAAGAACGAAAATTACCACTAAGACTACAAATATTTTATTATTAAGCGCTTTCACCCACTTTGAACTAGGTAAAGGCCATTTCGCAATGTTTTGCCTATTTTTATCTCTTATTACTACTTCAGGGGACAAAGTAATAGCACTAGTATATCCTCCACCCTTGTCCTTATCGCCACCTTTCTTATCACCGCTTCCAGGAGCTTTTCTGTTTTCATCCCAATCTTCGTTAATCTCACTATCACTAACACTTTCCTTACTAGCAGAAGAATCCTCCTTACGCTTACTGGATGTTTTCTTAGTTGGACTTCTCCTTTCGGGCTTCTTTTCCTCTTCCCTTTCTTCTTCCTCTGAGTCTTCTTCCTCTTCATCCTCTCTGTCATCTGATCCTTCACTGGCGGCCTTGTTCCTCTCCTTTTCGCCGTCTTGATTTTTTTGTAAACACTGTATGACTAAATCATCTACTTCCTCTCTCCTTGCTGTGAGATCGACATCTAATTTTTTTTCTATCCGTTGTCTTACTTTCTCTGTTAACATTGTAATGAGATCTTCATCTTTTAAAATCGCGGTGACTTCCCTACGAACCTCGTCTTTAGAGATATCAGTCATGGCAGTTCCCCCCGTCGTGCGTTCTGCCACCGAAGAAACCACGCTTTCCTCAATTTTAGAGGCTTCTAAATAAGATWGACCTACGCGGCCCTCTGAGTCGCAAATATTTACGTTAAATACGTTCGGTAGATCACCATCCGTTGGTTGCGCTTTGCTCGAACGTCCGATCTCTATGTTTCCCGATTCCACCACTAATCTCACGCTTTTTAGAAAATTCGCCCCTAAGATAAGATCATGTCGCACACACGAATTAGATACCAAATGTATTTTAGTTTCATATGCTTCCCCGTCAACCTCGATGGCGGCCGTAAAATGACCTAGCGTTTTAACCAATCCTGAACCCACACCTCTGAAACTGACGCGTTCATTTATTATTCGTGGAGCTCCGATCTCAGCGTAGGCGCTTTCCCTTATTAACGAGATCTGGCTACCCGTATCTATTAGCGCAGGAATCTCCGTATTGTTTATCGCAACAGCTTTTTTCAAAAACTGCTTATCTGCCAAGGGATCCACACCGACCCGAAAAACTGCTACCGATGGTGTCTTTTTAGGACACCCGGCAGAAATGTGACCGAATTCCTGGCAGCTGTAACATCTCATACCCTTCTCCCTCGATGGACAGAACGCCGCTCGATGTTCCCTCGCTCCGCAGTTGCGGCAACCTTCGACAATCCGTTGTTGTTCACTCGATCTTTGCTGCTTTTCCTCACTCGTTCCCCCCGGCCTTCTCCATACTCGGCTACCCTCGGAATCCGTCGGCAACTGTATCTTCTCGAACGCAGTAAAGAGCTCGGATCTGTCTCGGAATCCCCTGATTCTCGCCGTGTTCTGCAAAGTAATATCTGGTATTCCCTCGATCAAATGTTCGATCAGCTTCCTCACTAACGGACGCGCAGTTTCCCAAAATCACCTTATCATGAAAGTACTTGCTAAAACGTTCACCATGCTTCCACTGTCGCCGCAAAAACTCCCTTTTCCTATCAACCCAAGAAGGGAGATGTCGAAACATCTTTCTTATTTCATCTAGCAGTTCCTCGTTCGTCATATCCGCATATTCCGCTCTTGAGTGAAACCACTCTGCAGCTTTCCCCTTTAAACGTAGCCTAAATAACACCGTTGCTTCTCCGTCCGGTAAATTGTGTATTCTTCTTAAAGCAAGGAACTGTCGTTCCCAGTGATCGTAAGGGGTCTCACCGTCGTAATAACTAAGCATCTCAGCAATCGTCGTCAACCCTATCCGTGGACGACTTGATTCCTCGCGCATCATCGCGAATGAATTGCATTTAACCGAAACTTCTCTCGACCGGAGCAGTCGTTAATTGTTAAGAGAGCTCTTCAATTTTTCGCTGTAGCTGTGTTATTCCCTGACGAAGTAAACTATCTCGCTCCTCCGCGCCCGTGGTTGCACCGCGGAAAGCAGCCCCGTAGTTCTTGTCCCCTCCAGTAACAACTGCATACACTTCATCCCGAACCTCCTCTCCAAAATTTTTTGCAACTTGCACATCGTCTTATTCAGTGTTCATCAGCCTTGAAATCAATTCCGCTTTAGAACCCAACGTGGGTTGGTTCAACTTCCGGAGCCGCTCTTTAAGCTGCATAACCGTTAACTCGCTGTATGAATCGGTATCCATTTTTAACTCGAAATTTCACTCTAAAGTTCACCGCTAATCCTATATCTTCTGTATCTCCGTAGCACCGGACTTTCGATATAAATCCCAGACGAGCTCCCAATTTGTAGGGAAATCAATTGTTCTGTATCCGGCTAAGGATATCTAATTCCCCCATGTTGCCAACACTACTTGAGATATAAAAGATATTCTTTATTCTCGCAAACTATTGTTTATTAAAATTACAATTACCATTACAATTACAATAATGCTTCGCAACTTCTCGCACTCATTCACTACTCACTCGATACTATTTACTTTAGTAACTAAAGATACATATATCATATAATGACTTATTTGACACAACCGACGAGCTAGAGATTTCCGATAAGAATAATTACAAAGAAAATTTTTCAGATTATAAAAAATAACTTGAATTAAAAGAACACATTTTTGTCGTCAAATTTTTATTTATTACGCTCAAAACTATTAGATTAGCAACTAAATGATTGCAGATTTTAAATAAGAACAAAAATTCAAAATTTTTGCTTAAAAAGTAAAGGGGGGGGGCTCGAATTGATCGTCTAACTTTTTTATAAAAGTTCAAAGTGCAAAATTCCTTTATAATCCCACCAGACTGACAGCATAATCTTTTTTTGGTTTTTATGGTTCATCTTGCATCACCTACGATCTCTTCTGTTCGATGTTGTTATGAACTATCCGTTTTTCGTTGCCAGTAATTAGTCTTTTCAAAAAAAAAATAATTTTGTTGCTTTTCAGAGGCGAATCGCATATGCTAATAATTGCGCTAAATGAATTTCCTTCAGGGCATAGGTCACTTTAGAGGGTAAAAAAAAGGTTTTTTTGTGAATTTTTTATGCAGCTGGTTTTATTAATATCAATACAAAGTTTTGGTATATAAAAGTTATATATCTGAACTATATTTATCAATTTTTGTGTGTAAAAATATGGTAAATTGTGTTTTCCGTGGCCGCTTTTCTAAGAGTCCCAAAAAAAAGTTATTTGCGGTTGCCCTCACTGGCAAAAATTAGTTCATTTAAAAAAAAACCGAGTGTTTACTTTTAATTGAGATGTTTGCACAGGGAATGACCGGAAGGAAATTTTGATTTTTTTCAAAATCGTTAAACATTTTTCAATGAGAAATCGACAGAACGAAATCTGGCATACCAATTCTGACACTGCCTTTCCTTCAAGACTATTGCCATATATTGCACATA